GTGTGTGCGTACATGTACGCATTTGTTACGTATGCACATACGTGTGTGTGCGTGTATAAGTCGCGTGTTTGCGTGTGTGTATGAGGCCGAGCGGCCCGCGTCTCGCTGTTCTGTTTGTTGACACATTATGTATATTTGAATGAATCAAATTATAAGAGAATATGAATTTTATTGCTTTGGTTTTATTTATACGCAGGGTATTTAACAACAATTCTGGACAGCACCTAATTAATCAACCTGTAAAAGTCCACCTGTTTACATGGATCTCCCCCAAGTCTCTCCAGTTGGCAAGAGAATTTGCGTTAGCTTGATAGACGAACCCATCTATCGAAAGCCTATCCCATAGTGGCTTATTGTGGTACCGACTGGACAAAATTTTGCCATAATTGCCACACTTGGCAGGCAGGTAGTTTTTTATAACTTCGAATTGTTATCAGGGAGATGCTGCCGCCCATTCCTGTTTCAGCTTCCATATGTCGCCTCTTACGACACCCAAGGCACGACATGGGGTAGTGGATATTCTTGCATCGCCACCACACGGCATTTGTTATACCTTATGCAAATTGCAGTTTGATATGGTGTCGCAAATAAGGTAGAATAATATCATCCTTAACCGATTCGTTGCGGCACCGATTTTTGACAACTTTTAGTTGTGGCGACGAACAAATATTTCATGACACGCCAGGCGTGAAGAAGAAGACGCCACAGAAGTTGATGACACGCCTATTGTGCCATCAGTCATGTGTAAAAGTAATGTTCTTTTTTATGCTTTTTTCACTTGTTTAGATCTAATTAAGTTTAGTTGACATCAAACATCAGTTACAAACGGAAGGATACTTGTTTTTAGTGGGTAACTACGTGTTTTTCTACGTGTTTTTGAAAATGAGAGTAAGTGACTTTTTTATGCAGAGATTACAAACATTTTGTACTATTTTATCATCATCATTACAGCCCTTCACAAGTCCACTGCTGAACATAGGCCGCCCCCAAAGAATGCCACAAAGCACGGTCCTGAGCCACCTGCATCCATCGACTTCCTGCATGTCTTACCAGGTCGTCACTCCATCTCGTGGGGGGGACGCCCTACACTTCGCCTACCGGTACGAGGCTGCCACTCGAGAACCTTTCTTCCCCATCGGTTGTCGGTTCTTCGAGCTATATGGCCGGCCCACTGCCACTTCAGCTTACTAATCCGTTGGGCTATGTCGGTTACTCTGGTTCTACTGCGGATATCCTCATTCCTAAGTTTATCACGCAGAGAAACTCCGAGCATAGCCCTCTCCATAGCTCGCTGAGCGACCTTGAGCTTCCTCATACGGCCAGCAGTGAAGGACCATGTCTCAGTTCCATAAGTCATCACTGGCAACACGCACTGGTTGTACAATTTCGTTTTCAGGTTTTGAGGTATGTCTGACGAGAAGATGTGTCGTAGCTTCCCGAACGCTGCCCAGCCGAGTTGAATCCGTCGATTGACCTCTCGGTCGAAGTTGGACTTACCTAGTCGGACTATTTGTCCCAGGTAAACATACTCGTCAACAACTTCGAGTTTAGTGCTCCCAACAACTACCGGCATAGGTGTGACATGGACATTGAACATGATCTTTGTTTTATCCATGTTCATCTTAAGACCTATCCGTTGGGAAACACTATCGAGGTCATTGAGCATAGTGCTTAGGTCCTCCAGCGATTCTGCCATAAGGACTATATCGTCGGCAAATCGAAGGTGAGTGATGTACTCGCCATTGATGTTGATACCGTATCCTTTCCAGTTCAGAAGCTTGAAAACGTCTTCCAATGCAGCGGTGAAGAGTTTCGGGGATATGACGTCACCCTGTCTTACACCCCGCTGCAATTGGATAGGTTTCGTACTCTGGTTCTGTACTCGGATAGCCATCGTAGCGCTACTGTACAAGCACTTCAACACTTCGATATACCGACAGTCAACTTGGCACCGCTGAAGGGACTGCAGCACCGTCCAAATTTCGACGGAATCAAAGGCTTTCTCATAGTCCACATACGCCAGACATAGTGGCAAATTGTACTCTTCGGACTTCTGTACAATTTGCCGAAGGGTATGTATGTGGTCTATGGTGCTAAAGCCCTTTCGGAAACCGGCTTGTTCGGGAGGCTGGAAGTCGTCAAGTCTGCGCGCGAGACGATTCGTAATGACTCTCGAAAACAGCACGTAGACGCGGCTCAGAAGGGAAATCGGTCTGTAGTTCTTCAAGAGAGCGTTGTCACCTTTCTTGAAGAACAAGACCACCGCACTTCTGCTCCACGCCTCCGGTGTAATGCCACCATGGAGGACGGAATTAAAGAGCTTCTGAAGGACTTCAAGTACCGGTCTTCCACCCGCTTTCAGAAGCTCCGCTGTAATTCCATCCTCGCCTGGGGCCTTACCGTTTTTAAGGTGCTGGAGAGCCATTCTAATCTCGCTCAGACTGACGTCCGGGATATCTTCGGAAAAGTGTCGGATGAGGCACGCTCTTGGATCGTTACTCACACTTGCGTGTGGCTCCAACGATGACGTGTACAGCTGCCCATAGAACCTCTCAATCTCACTCAAAATCTCAGGTGTGCCGGAAACGATGCTGCCACATCCTGTCTTCAGCTTTGACAGGTGGCTCTTTCTGGCAGACAGATCTCTGGCAAAGACTTTGGAGCCTTGGTTCCGCTCGATCGCTTCTTCAATACGAGCTGTATTGAAGTTGCGTAAGTCCCGCCGCATGCATTTGGAGATCTGTCTGTTCAGATGCCTGTATGCTGTCAAGTCTGTTGAAGAATGTAGCTTCATCTCCCGTCTAACAGCCATGAGATTAAGAGTGTGATCGGAGAGTTTTTGTGTTCTTCTGCGGCGGGTCTTGCAGAACTTAGCTCCGACCGCATGGACAGTTTCCACGAGCTTGTCATTCATGTCGTCCACTTCATTGCAGTCTTCTAGGCACTGAAAACGGTTTTGTAACTCGAGCTGAAAGGTTTCGGGACTTTGGAACAGAGCACGAGGGGGACGGAGCGTTGACTTCATTAGACGAGACCTCTCCAACTTAACGTTTAGGTTCAGTGTGCCTCTAACCATTCGGAAATCGCTACCAGTTTTCACCCTCGCAATCACGGAGACATCACTAAACAGTTGTCGTCTGGTCGTCATAATGAAGTCAATCTCATTTTTTGTCGAACCGTCGGGGCTCGACCAGGTCCACTTCCTGTGGGGCCGCTTCTGGAAGAAAGAGTTCATCATAAAGAGTCCCTCTTTCTCCATGAAGTCGGCCAGCTGCTGGCCCCTTGGGTTCCGTTGCCCTATTCCAAATTTCCCTACTTTCAGCTCACCGTTCTCTCTTGTGCCTAGTTTTGCATTGAAGTCTCCCATTAACACCGTATATTGGGTTTTGGAGGAATGCATGGCTCTAGAGATATCCTCATACATTTATTACTCCACCTCCCCATCGGGGTGTGCCGAGGTTGGTGCGTAAGCCTGTATGACCTTCAGCGAATACCGTTTGGTGATTCTGAGTATAAGGTACGCAACCCTCGTCGACACACTCCCGATCTTTACAACGTTGTTAACGAGAGACTTGTGGACGATAAATCCGACACCTCCTTGGGACAGATGGTCGCCCTCCCGGTGATAGAGCAAGTTGCCGGATTCGAGGATTACCGTGTCCTCCCCCTCTCTTCGGACTTCGGATAATCCTATAATATGCCAGCGCAACTTGTCTATCTCTTCTTCCAGCTCCACGATCTTCTCGTCAGTCCTCAGGGTGCGTGCGTTGTACGTTGCCAGGTCGAGTCGTCTAAGGTGGCAACCGAACCTCCACCGGAGATTCTTAGCACCCCCTGCCCCGCCGATACCATGGTCGCCACCGTAGCCAGGAATAGCGGGGCCGCCGGGGACTGGGGGCCGTCTCTTTGTTACATTCATAGGGGGGTATTTGCCATAGTTGCCACGCTTGGCGAGCGGGTTGGCAACCGCAGTTTTTTTATTGTAATATTGGCTATTATCAGGAAGATGCTGCTGCCCATCTCCTGCCTGTTTCCCTTTGTCGCCTTTTACGACACCCACGGGAGGATATGGGGTAGTGGTATTCTTGACCGCCACTACACGGCACTACTTATATAAATGATTTTCTGATACTACTTATATAAATGATATATAAAAAATCATTTATATAAGTAGGTACAGCTAAACCACCCTGAAAAACCTTGGTTTTTATTAAATTAAGTTTTCACCTAATAATAATAATTGTAAACATCAAACAATCAAGAACCTTAATTTGGAAAAAATAAGGTTTATGATTCATTAATATTTACAAATGTTAAATATTATTTAATGTTATACAAATGTAAAAGTAAAGTCGATTTGAAAACGTCTTTATTACGGTTTTTTTTGTATTAGTAAGAATAGTAAAACAATTGTTTTCAAAAGGAAACAAACACCGGCGCTATACGGCGGCGGATTGACAAAAGACTATTTATTAGCGATATTTTTTATGGATGGACGGTTTCAAACTGTTTCAAGCCAAAATAAACCTTATACCATATCACAAGAGCACATGGTACTTGGTAGGTCTATTCGGCCATATGATAGTAATAAGACGGCAGTTCAACTATTTTAAGCAAAATTATACAATAAGACAAACGCTTTGTTTTTTTTTTAACAGGAGACTTGTTTTCCAGAAATTTATTTACAACTTGAGTTTGTGAGCGTTCGCAATGAGTGATATTATTTGTTACTTATTAGACTATTTTTACACAACATGATTGAAAACCCACAAAGTAAAAAGAGCACAAGTTAAAAGAAGGTTGTCAACCCCTAAAAATTTCAAATTTTCAAAATATCCAGAAACGAAGCCGCAGGCATGAACTACTTGCAAAATAATGAATATTTTGTCCTGGATAAATTTTCCAAAAACGCAATTTGAGCGAGTTATAACGATTTTTAAAAAGACACGACTCGTACCATCGATTATTGAACAGGTTAATAGATAATGTAAAAAAAAAAACAATTTTTAAAATATTTATAATAAAACTGACTTTCAACCTAATCTATGTACAATAACAAAATCAAATCACACTTAACTTTAAATATATTTGAAAACAACATCTTTGAAGCTATCCACAGTTTGTAGTTCTAAGGTTACAGGACATTGGATCCAATTGGATAAGAGTTCTTCAGTGTATCCAAGAAGGAAATACATTTTCATAGGAGACACCGCCCTTCTGATGATAGCAGCAACTCGTATATGGTTGAACTGCCTTTTTATTATTACCTAGAAAGTTTAAAAACGTGGTTAGCAAAAATAAAGGATTTATTGTATATTTCTATTTAGTAGTGTAATATTATTATAAGTACACATGATAATTACAATAGAAACTTACTTCACTGCAAACAAGTCCATGCCAAGTGCCGTTCATAAATCTTCTAATGAACTCATCTTCAACAGCTGTCTCTGATCGCCGAAGCCCGTCTTTCAAACTTGCTGTTAAAGAAATATGTAATATCAATTTTTATTCAATTAACAATCAGTCTATATATGTCCCACTACTGGTCACCGGATTCCTTTTTTTTACTATTATTAGCCAAATTTTTACTACTATCTCACCAGATGGTAAGTGGTGATGCAGCCAAAAAGCTTATTCTCTCTTGCCTTGAAGACAACCACATTATAATCGAATGAAAAGACAGATGATTGCAAATTATTCAATTTCTTTGCTGTACATTGATTGCTGGCAAAAATTTATACATGCTTTGAATATTAAAACAGACTTTTATTTTTATCAAAATGTTACCTTTAACTGCTAATACTTTAATTTCATTATTAATAAAATCCAAACATTACTATAATTTCGCATTAATATACCTGGTTCAGTGCCAATAGTCCCTAAACAAAAATGATAAGATTATATGTACTGTTGCGCGCCACTATTAATGTCTTGTACATGGCAACACTAGTTACACTAGCGCCCCCTAGTGTCGAGTAAATGAAAGTGTTGCGCGCCACTATTAATGTCTTGTACATGGCAACACTAGTTACACTAGCGCCCTTTAGTGTCGAGTAGCAGAACTAGGAGAGTCGAGATCCTTCCAGAAATTTCGGGACCAATATGTACTCGAACATTCTAGATGTCGCTACAGTAGAAGGTTCTGGAAACTATCTGAGGCCCTATATAAGGCCGGTATAGACCACGACCGGGGCAGTATTGAATTGGCGATACAAGAGATTACTTCGAAGCGAAATAACGGCGAACTGTGTTTTATTATTAGTGTAATTTTAGATTGTAATTAGTGTTGTGTAATTAAAGTGTCAATTTTGGTAATTCAATCGGCAGTTTTTAATTGTCTCGAATCCCAAGCTCGTAACAATTGGTGTCAGAAGTGGGATCAAATATGCCGATTTTACCTAAAGACGACACGGAGGGTATCCGTACCCGAAGTCAACGCCAACAGGAGACGGACCAGAGACGAATTGGTAATGCAACGCCGCAAACGTCGGAGGGGCAGCTGCTAACCACGGAGGCCGGCCCGTCAGCAGCTCCTGCATCTGCAGCACCTGACTTAGGTGCTCTGATGATGATGCTGCAGGATCAGGCTCGCCGACAGGAGGAACAGGCTCGCCGACAGGAGGAACAGGCTCGCCGACAGGAGGAACAGGCTCGCCGACAGGAGGAACAGGCCCGCCGACAAGAGGAACAGACCCGTCGGTTGGAAGAGCATCTGCAGCGCGGTATGGAAGAACAGATGCTCCTCAGGAAGGACCTTCACGCTACCTTCGGGAAAGAGATAAAGGAGGTGAAGGATAGGGTTGCTCAACATGACAACCGCCTGTCGGAAGCTGAAACCCGAATCGACCAAGTGAACAATCGGGTTGACAACGTGATGGCTGATGTGAAGAAAACGCTGGACCACCTCAAACTTGGGGATGGAATTACAGCTCCCGTAGTAGCTACAACACCTTCGCTACGTGGATTCAAAGTGCCGCCGTTCGACGGGAGTTTTTCCTGGTCGGCCTACAAAATCCAGTTCGAGGCTGTCATGAAAGCGAACGGCTGGAATAAAAGTCAGGCCATGACTGCTCTCACCCTAGGCCTACGCGACCAGGCCTTAACTGTTCTGGAAGCTCTCGGTAAGGAAGTAACTTACGAGCAGCTCCTTGAGGCATTGGAGGCAAGATATGGCGATGCTCACCTGGAACACGTCTTTCGTGCGCAGCTCAAAGATCGCGTGCAACGCAGTAACGAAAACCTGCAGCAGTGGGCCCTTGAGGTGGAGAAGCTGGTTCGAAAAGCGTACCAGTCTGTACCTGCGCTCATTGTAGGGAACCTGGTGCAGACATTCATCGACGACATCCGCGACCTTGAAGTCAGAGCTGCTGTGAGGCTCGGGCACCACGAGACGCTTAAGGACGCCTTGACCCATGCACTGGAGGTGGAAGCCGTGCGGCAGGATCATCGTTTCCACCGCGTCAGGGAGGTTGCAGCAGCTACAGTTCAGGACCGCAATAAGGGCTACAGCCCTAGGTGCTACGGCTGTGGAGAAAGGGGCCATCTTCGATCCAGCTGCCCTAAACGAACTGTAGAAAGGGAAGGTGATCGATATCGAGAGGGTAGTGTGGCTGACAGCACCGCCCAGCAACAGCAGGGAAACTGGCGGGTGCTGGCTGATGTTAAAAGAGCCCCAAGGATTTCGATCTCACAAACCCATGATGGGAACAGCCTAATCATCAAGGGCGAAGTCAACGGAACGCCGTGTAAACTGACCATAGACACTGGAGCCTCTCGCATGGTTGTCAGTTCCCAACTTATAAGTCGGTTCCTTGGGGACTCCGCATACAACCGAGAACGCATTAATTTGGTGACAGCCACCGGTCAGCGCATACCCGTCCGTGGAGAGAAGGAGATGGAGTTGAAGCTAGGCAACATGATCTACCTGCATAATGTCATCGTGGCTGATATAATGCACGACTGCATCCTGGGCCTAGACTTTATGAGGAAGAATTGTTGTGAGATCGACGTTAAGCAAGGTGTTTTGAAATGTGGACAAGAGGAACTTTTCGTGGAAGGGGCGTTACCAGGGAATGTGTACAGCCTTAAGAAGATTGTTCTTCCGCCGAGATCGGAAACGATTGTGCCGGTTAGACTTCCACGGAATCCTGGGCAAACTCTTCGTTGTGTACTCGTGGAAAGGGTAGACAATGACCTTCCATGGAAAGTGGCTCGAACCTTGGTCAGAACCGCCGACATCTCAGGAGTACGTGTGCTGAACCTTTGTGATCAGGAACAGATTATAGAAAAAGGCACATTGGTTGGTACTAGTGAGGAAGTGGATTGGTTGCGTCGGTGCGAATATCTATCGACCGGGACCCCCAGCAAGGATGGACAAACTAGAGTGACCACACTTTTAGAAGACTGTCGCAGCGTTCTCTCCCCGAATGAAACGGTCAAAGCGAAGAAGTTGTTACTCAAGTACGCCAATGTTTTCTCGTCAAACGAAGCTGACATAGGAAAGACTAGCTTAGTTCAACACAAAATAAACACAGGACAAGAATTGCCTATTCGTCAGCGGCCAAGAAGATTGCCTGTAGCACGTGAAAAGGAAGTGGAAACCATGATTGAGGGAATGGTGAAGGATGGTGTTATTGAACCTTCATCTAGTCCATGGTGTTCACCTGTGGTGCTGGTAAAGAAGAAGGACGGCAGCATGCGGTTTTGTGTTGACTACCGCCGCCTGGACGACGTTACAAAGAAGGACAGCTATCCCTTGCCAAGAATTGATGACACGCTGGACATGCTTACAGGCGTAAAGTGGTTTAGTACGCTGGATCTGAAAAGTGGCTACTGGCAGGTTGAAATTGACCCTAAGGACAAGGAGAAAACTGCATTCTCCACAGGAAAGGGCCTGTGGCAATTTAAAGTCATGCCGTTTGGATTGTGCAATGCTCCAGCAACGTTTGAAAGGTTGATGGAGCTTGTACTTACCGGGCTAATTGGAGATGCCTGTCTCGTCTATTTGGATGACATCATCATCGTAGGCCGTACGTTTGAGGAACACCTTCAAAACCTGGAACGCGTGCTCATGAAGATCCAGAGTGCCAACCTCAAGTTGAGTCCAAAGAAGTGCTCACTATTCAAACGGCAAGTTAGTTTTTTGGGGTATGTAGTGTCGGAAGAAGGTATCCGCACGGATCCAGAGAAAATTGCTGCTGTCAAGGAGTGGCCGGTCCCAAAAGACAAGACACAGGTTAGAGCATTTTTGGGTTTGTGCTCTTATTATCGGCGATTTGTGAAGAACTTTGCAGATATAGCCAAACCTCTGCACAAGCTAACCGAGGAGAAGCGACAATTCTGCTGGGATGAAAGTTGCGATATTGCATTCCAGGAGCTCAAGAACCGTCTGTGCAAAACACCTATTTTGGGGTACCCTGATGCGGGCAAGGAATTCATAGTTGACACAGACGCAAGTGGTATAGGACTTGGCGGTGTGTTGTCTCAACGGAATGGTGATCAAGAGATTGTGATAGCGTACTTCAGCAAGTCGTTGTCAAAGCCGGAAAGGAACTATTGTGTCACAAGACGGGAATTGCTTGCTGTGGTAAAGTCCTTGCAGCATTTTAGCAAATATCTTCTAGGGCGGAAATTCTACTTACGAACTGACCATGCTGCACTGAAATGGCTATTGCAGTTCAAAAATCCGGAAGGACAAGTTGCGAGGTGGATTGAACTACTACAGGAATACGACTTTGTGATCGAACATCGCAGCGGGAAATCTCATGGCAATGCAGATGCATTATCAAGAAGACCTTGCCCTGAAGATTGCAAGCATTGTACTAGGCAAGAGGGTAAAGAAGTGGTATCTACGAGGATATTCAGGACAGACCAGCTCAGCAATGAATGGAAGGACAGCCTACAACATGCACAGCAGGAAGATTCGGACATTAAGCCGATTCTGGAATGGATGAAGGCCAGTGCTCCTAAGCCCAAGTGGAGCGACGTCTCAGCAATGAGTTCGACCACGAAAAGCTATTGGGCCCAATGGGACAGCTTGCTGATTCAGGATGGAGTCCTATGCCGTAAATGGGAAAATAGTCGGGGAGACAGGTGTCATTTGCAAATGGTTGTCCCTAAGGCTAAAGTACCGGATGTTCTCCAGCTGTACCATAGTGGTTGTTCAGGAGGCCACCTGGGAGTTAAACGAACTCTACTGAAGATCCGAGAACGGTTTTACTGGGTCCACTGTCGTGACGATGTCGAGGACTGGTGCCGCAAATGTACAAGTTGTGCGGCTGTAAAGGGACCTCAAATTCGTAGTAGAGGCGCATTGAAATTGTACAATGTTGGTGCACCATGGGAGAGGATAGCCATTGACGTTGCAGGGCCGTTTCCGGAAAGTGAAAGTGGTAACAAGTATTTCATGGTTGTGATGGATTACTTTATTAAGTGGCCAGAAGTCTTCGCCATTCCAAATCAAGAAGCTTCAACAGTTGCAGATAAACTAGTTCATGAAGTCTTCTGTCGTTTTGGAGTACCTTTAGAGATTCACAGCGATCAAGGAAGGAATTTTGAGTCTCAAATATTCCAGGAAACTTGCCGAGTTATGGGTACTCAGAAAACACGAACAACTTCTTACCACCCACAATCTGATGGAATGGTAGAAAGATTTAATCAGACATTGGAGAGGTACCTAGCAAAAGTTGTGGAAAAACGGCAACGAGACTGGGACAGGCATATACAACCGTTTTTGTTGTCATATCGAAGCGCTGTTCACGAAAGTACATCAGTGACACCAGCTTTCGCAAACTTTGGGAGAGAATTGCGGCTGCCTGCAGACCTGATCACCGGAATACCACCTGATGCCCCACGCAGTATAACCGACTATGCAAATGACTTGCGGAACAAAATGAATGACATTTATGAGCACGTCAGACAGACGGGCCAGCAAACGTCTGAGAAGATGAAAACACGGTATGACCGCAAAATGAACAACAAGGGGTTTGATGAAGGTTCACTAGTGTGGTTACACAATCCAGTTCGCAGCAAAGGGAAATCTCCTAAGCTTCAAGCTAAATGGGACGGACCGTACCGGATTGTGACAAGGATCAATGATGTAACCTACCGCATACAGAAAGGTGCCAGAGGTACTCCTAAGATTGTCCATGTGGATCGACTGGCGCGTTATTATGGGGCCAATAATGCTCGGGACGAGCATGTCTTAGGAGGGGGCAGTGTTGCGCGCCACTATTAATGTCTTGTACATGGCAACACTAGTTACACTAGCGCCCCCTAGTGTCGAGTAAATGAAAGTGTTGCGCGCCACTATTAATGTCTTGTACATGGCAACACTAGTTACACTAGCGCCCTCTAGTGTCGAGTAGCAGAACTAGGAGAGTCGAGATCTTTCCAGAAATTTCGGGACCGATATGTACTCGAACATTCTAGATGTCGCTACAGTAGAAGGTTCTGGAAACTATCTGAGGCCCTATATAAGGCCGGTATAGACCACGACCGGGGCAGTACAGTATTGAATTGGCGATACAAGAGATTACTTCGAAGCGAAATAACGGCGAACTGTGTTTTATTATTAGTGTAATTTTAGATTGTAATTAGTGTTGTGTAATTAAAGTGTCAATTTTGGTAATTCAATCGGCAGTTTTTAATTGTCTCGAATCCCAAGCTCGTAACAGTACCATTTTGTTTATTTAAAGTTCCAATTATAAAGAGGGTAGTTAAAACTAATAAATTGACTAACTGCTGCCCAATGTAAATAATGTGATATGATTGGAGGAATGTTGGATTGAAGTGTAAGAGACAAGGGCAATCACAACATATGATTATGGTTTGACACAAATATAATTGTATTTAATTTAATTAGAAATGCAAAATATTCCGATCACAATTACAATCCAGCAACTGTAGCATATTAAGGGTGTAGGTACATGGCGTACTTACACCCTTAGGCCTTATATTCATTATTGTAACAAATTATTTATCAGAAGAAGCTAAATACTTCAAATATTTGTTATATTTATGGTAGTAAATAACAATTATTTAGAGATAAGGACAGGAGACTCAACATTATGACATTGGTCCCTTAGTAGAGAGGCAAGGCTCTAAGTGTGGGATACTACATTTGTAGACACTTTGGCAACTTTTTACTTCAAGGATTACCTGTTTAGAGCTGGGGCAGCATTAGAGTCGGCGGAACATAGTCTCTCAGAATGACTTTATATTTGCTATAGAAACTATTGGTAATTAGGATCAACAAATTTCCTAAAGGAACTATATCATTGACTTGTCGTTACTGCTGATTATAATAAGTCTAGTTCTTTTCTTGCAACTATTCAGAGAGGAAATTTCGGCAATATACCACAGAGAATTGTATTTAAATTTATGTTTTTAGTTTTAGTTTTTTTTATTGTGATATTAATATTAATGTTACATAAGAATACTTGTCAATTTGTTTTAATATAATAATTAATGAACAATTCTGATGTAAACTGCTTTTAAAATTTTTATGCACTAAATTATTTTATGCATAAAGCTAATGAGTATATATTTTATTATAAAATATTTAAGGTTGGGGGAAAAAGTTTCTTCGTATTTTGTTTGTATAAAATTGAGGACAAATCTGTTTGGTTGTACTGTTTGTATCTAGCTGGTTTCTTTTTCTTAATGTCCTTGATATTAAAGCAATACATAAAGACATTAAGAAAAAGAAAACTAAAAAGTAAAAAATACTTTCCCGCCATTTTTCAATTGTTATGCTGTCCGCCAAAATGAGTAAATCTAACATAAAAATTCGATGCATTTTGAAGTTTTATTACAAAAAAGGGAAAATCGCGATTCAAACCGCGAAAAAAATTTGTTACGATTATGGCATTGTCACTAAAAGTAGCACAAAGTTGGTTCAAGCGTTTTCAGTCCGGGAATTTTGATGTCAAAGATGCAGCTCGCTCTAGTCACCCTCATACAGATAAAGTCCATGCCATTTTTGAAAAAGTGGAGCAAGATCGGCATATTAGTAGTTACTACATAGCCGAGAAATCGAGGATTGACCACAAAACAGTTTTGAACCATTTGAAAATCTGGCTATACAAAAAAAAAAACTGGCCAAGTGCATGTCGGGCCCTGCACAATGTAGAGGTAGGGTTCCATAGTTGCCGGTCAAAATACATGGGCTTTCTTGATAGTGAGTATAATAAGTGAGTTCGCGGTTTGACCACTATAATGACTAAAAATGGGCACAAATAGGAAGATGGTAGACTTGTAGGGTAGTATTCAAAAAGAATAAAAAACTTTTTGATTTTGAAACTAATACAATTTACATCAAATAATTCAAATAACTATCTATCTATATATTCCCGGCAGCGTAGCATATATGACCGTAACAAACTTCACATAAACCACCACTGACCTAAATTATCCTGAGGTCGCCCACGTAAACCAAGAGTGTGACGAATGAAACTGTATGAGGATATACAATAACTACCAACTTTAAAATAAGTCAAAGCAGTAAGTAAGAAAGAAAGATCCTCCCCGCCTATCCCTCAGATGATAAAGTAAAGCTATAGTAGTAATGCATAGTCGTTTTCTTCATAAAATATTTATTTTTAAGTTTACAATAACATTACAAAGCTATAATGCAGAATAAGTGCAGTATAAGTTTTAGGTCATTTCCAATGGAGTTGTATCAAAATGTTTACTAATCTAAGTGCATTTCATAAGTTGGTCGACTATTACTCAGTAACCTCTTAATTCTACTTAGCTATGATAGTTTTCCTTTTAACTTCATTATATATATTACTAATGTGTATACTTTTCACATTTCCAAAAACAGCAGTTAATTGGTACATATAACTCTAATGAAAAATACCACTTTAAAGCTAAATATTTCGCAAACGGGCCCCTGAATCGAAAAGATGTTGTTCCACACCCCCAGTGTTTTTGAAAGACCTATCCAACGATACACCACATGATGGAATATACGGGTAAAAAATAATAATTTCAATTTACTTGTATGGGAAATACCCAAAAAAAAAGTTTTTTAAGATTTTATTTCAGTTTTCTAGGCGTGATTAATATCTATAACTATGCCAAATCACAGATATGGAGCACCTAGGGTCTGTGAGCAAAACTGCAAAGGGACAGACGGATAGACATGGCGAAATAATAAGGATTTCTTGTTGTGTAACTACAGAAACCTAAAAAAGCTCAATATTATTTGGGTACCACATAAGCTCACTGAAAGAAACCTAGTGAATTGTGTACTCATTTGCGATTCTCTATTGAAACATAATGAAACCAAACCATTTTTGAAATGATTGAACACTGATGATGAAAATGGATCACCTACGACAAGAACGTGCAAAAAAATTACAGTCAAAGCGGATTGGAAGGGCGCCGTTTATTATGAGCTTTTACCGCCGTGCAAAACCATCGATTTGGATCTCTAATGCCAACAACTAATGCAACTCAAGCAAGAAATTGATAAAAACCGGCCGAAACAGAAAAGGAGTGTTCTTTCATCATGATAACACCAAACCACACACATCTTTGACCACTTAGCAAAAATTGAGAGAGCTTGGTTGGGAAGTGTTAATGCATCCACCATATAATAGTGACCTTGCACGCTCAGATTTTCACCTGTTTAGGTCTCTTCAAAATTCTTTGGGTAGTGTTAGGTTAACATCAGGGAGGCCTGTCAAAATTACATGTCACATTTTTTTTATCAAAAATCCCCCAAGATTTTTACAGCAACGGGATTATGTCACTACCTACAAGATGGCAACAATTTATCGAACAATATGGTACATATACATTATAATTACCTAAATGTAATTAAACTTTTAAAAAAAATTACTTGAATTTGTTTATAAAATATGAAGAAACTTCCCCAGGCTATTATAACAATATGGTTATATTTAAAGCAAGAATAAACAAGGCTTGAGTGCTTTATGATTTTGGGCTACATCACGACGTAAGTACTAAATTTAATCAAGTGCATACTGTAATCAATATCTATTCCATACTGGCAGTCCACAGCATATCCAAATTATGTTCAGCATATATTAATTGGTAAGTAACACTAATAGTTAATACATTGTACCCAAATACTTGTGCACCAAATGTTTATGACACTTACATGTGTTCCATGAATTCCACGACTTGCGGTGAGCTATAAAATGAGGAGGATTAGCCATTTCATAGGTGAGCGGTCGGTCCTTCTTTTTAGTGATTCTGTACTTGCCAGAAACAACTCTACATAGTGGAGCAGATATGTGAAGTTGCGATGCTAATACCGTTGACAGTTGATTTATTTGTCCCGTAGTGCAAATCTTGAATTGATTTAATAATTGATTGAATAAATATAAGAAATAATTAAATACATATTATTAAAAATCTAAAACTAGGTTGTAATAATAGAATGATACAATACCTGCGCAAGCTTTAATATCGAGCTGTTCATTTCGTTCTTGTGTTTTAATTGGTGTTACAATTTTAAACACCGCAAAGAAATGATCGCCTAAAAGTTGTTTAGAAATAGAACATAAATTGCATGTTTAGGTGTAAAAATTAGTTAAAGAGTTAAAGATTGAGTAGGCTTGGGCAAAAAATATCGATATATTGAAATATCGATATTTATTTTAGAGTATCGAATTCGTATCAATTTCGATATATTTTAAAATGTTGTATTAATGACAAAACATGTATCAACAAAAGGAGGTACAAAACTATTCATATTTTTTCGTCGTTCAACTGGCAGTAATATAAAATTTGGACCTGATCTTTACATCATATAAATGATGACGGTATATTGATATATCGATATTTAACACGCGATCTATCGCTATTTTTTGTCCTTGCCCATCCCTAAGATTGAGATTCAAAACGTCAAACGTCAAATAAAATGTCAATTGTAGTTTTTACTATTTGCCAATTAAGGTGAGCAAAGGTATTTTATTGTACAGGCTAGTCGGATGGTGTTTTGTACACAAATTTTTTCACAATATACCAATGCCTCACAAGGCGAAATTTTTGGAAGATTTAACGACAGCTTAATCCAGCATACAGTTGATGACGACCATGCGGATAAAAAAAACTTGAAATTTATATAACCATCGAAGCATTTAAAGCATTGTTTTCACTAATAATATTTCTGCTAAATTACCCTTAGCCTTATTATGGATTGTACAGCAAAATAAACTGTAACCATGGGACCATGTACTATTTCAAATACATAATTTATTTATTTATATTGGTCTAACGACAACGGATTTGCTTCGCAGAACGTACACAGAGATGGTCAGATTATATCAGAACATCTACTACGATCTACCGATCGTGTTCTGATTTGGAAAGATATATTTTATTCATTACAGCCTATCAAATGTCCTCTGCCAGCATATAATAGGCGTCCACCATAAATTACCTCATAGGCCATAGTTCCCTCTCTTTGCAGTCGGGTTGGCAACCACAGATTTTTTTGGAGTTGTTATATGGAAGACTGTTGCATATGCCATGTTTCATTCCATCTGTTGCCTCACGGTATCAAGATTCTGCTCCAGTGTGTAGTGGTGGGCTTAACCCTTCATCATGATTAAGTAATATGTTCATTGATGCAGATATAGCTTTCTGGATGGTTCCATTTTCCGATGAACAAGAGGTAACTTAGCATTTAAAAATTGGGGATTACATATGGGATTCCAAATCGCTTACCATGTGGATTTGTTTCTATATAAGATATTAGTAAAATTCACAGTAAAAAAATCAGTATCGTATGTGACTGACAAAAATAGTATTCATACCTCACTATTTGTTTTAAAGGGCGACACGAAAATAAAAAAAAAATAAAATTACGAAATATTGTAATGTAATCTACCACTTAACCAAAGAATGTATACACTACGCGAAATTTAACTTAAAAGTTACAAATTCAGTTGGTAATTTTCTGTCTACTGTCAAGTTTTCGCGAGAACTGATAACTATGTTCAAGTTTGTTACATTAATATTCAAATATATACATATATGAATCTATAAAACGTGTTTTATTTTAGTTATTTTTGTTTTGTTACGCTAAGGAAGTATAACTTCTTACGTGCGTACATTACTTATGTACACATTATGTACACACATATTACATAGACACGTTTTTTTTTAAACTATGAAACTGTTTATTATGGGTTAATAAACCACTAAGAAGAGACACAAGATATGAATATTGATAATCTCTGGGAATGAGGCTATTGTTACGAAACTGTTTCTAAATGTTTTCATATTTAATTGTATGAGATATTATATTGTAAACAAGAGGATAAAAACAGTAGCTTAGAAATAGCTTACACAGATAGAGAAACGAATAATGAGTTGATAGAAAAATTTAAATCCACATCAGTATATCATAAGATTCAGAGACGTTGGCAATTATTGAAAATTAAAGACATTAGACACTTCCACAATACAACAAAATGATAAATTGAAACGGTATAGTTTGAAAAATAATATATTATTTTGCATAATTTGAAATTAAAAATTTTGTACAGCCTTTTTTTGTGCAGACTTCAATATAAGTTATTAAGAATAACTCAAAAACTATTGGGCTGACCTTGATCAAATTCATGTGGGACCACACGAGAAGTACCAGCTTTCAAATAAAAAAAGAATCATCGAAATTGGTTCACCCCATAAAAAGTTATGAGGTAACACACATAAAAAAACATACAGTCGAATTGAGTACCGTCTCCTTTTTGGAAAACCAATTTAAAAGAAGTAATTTATCAAGTGGTATGCAGGAAGTAAAGACTGTGTAAGAACTTTCGAAGGAGGCGGAGTTATAGGCGAAATAAGAATTTTAAATTTTTTGGTTTTTGGCCATTTTGACCCCCTAGGAGTGTAATGAGAACTTTTTGCCCCTATTCAACCATGACCCCATGACATCCTCTACATGATAGGCTATTCAAACTGACTAGGCCTAAAGTTTGAGTCACCTCCCCAACTCATTTCTAGTATTTACTTCCAATTAATGTTTAAAAAGAGTTCCGCTGGGTTTCTTGATGGTTTTTCTCAGGTTCAAAGATTTTTTCGAACCTGGTGTAAAAGCATCAACAACTTTCAATAATTATTCTAGTATGTATATTGAATAAAAATTATTCAATTTTATTCTTGCACCTTTGACACTGCCTCCTGCCGCCAGTAAAATATAAACAAGATGGTTACACCGCCATCTTCAAGAAGTCATGAGATCTGATATCAACCATAATTTGCCTTTTAATCTTACAATGATTGTAAATGCAATTAGAAAACATAAACCGAACACAGGATGCACGCGTACTCTCTAAAGCGGCATCCAGCTTCTAGACTAATCAACACTCTTTTATTCATACTCTCGATACTTAAAAACTGAATAAAAGATGGTAATTAACTGCCTATCGTTAATAGCAGAAATATTAAAATCTTTTAACGATCTGTGAATACATGGTTAACAGCATAGATTGTAAATATTATTTTGTAATTGAAACTGCAAAGAAAATGAGATTTTGGTATAAAGAAATTATTTTGCTTGCAATTTTATATCATGGAAGCGGTACGTTTTATAACATTGCTAACCTTAAAATATACACATAATAGAGTTTTTGTTTTTATAATATATATTATAAAAATATTTTACAGCATTGCGGAAGCATAACGATGATGAATTCAGAAACATTATCATAAAAGACATAATGAATAAAATCGAAAAAATTGCACATACACTTTCCAATGCATTGATTGAGAAAAAACCTAAAATGTTGGCAGAAATAGAAGCAAAGTTAAGTACCGCAACAAAGCAAGCGTTCGGAGACGAGGGAAAGAAATATGTCGAGCTAATAATGCAAGGGGTAAGATTGAAAGCGTTTAACCGCACTTTGAATGTTTCTAAAGAAATTGACACACCGCGGTTTAAAGCAAAAAATGATTTTATGTCTGAATCCATTGTCGATGAATATCAAAGTAGTGAACGTATTGTAAAAGATCATATGGCTAAACAAATTACGGATAAAATTGAAGCTTTTGCAAAGATGTACATGATGAAGTTAAAATCATCTGACGATAAACGTAAGTTCTTAGAAAACGTTCGGAAAAAAATTTTAGAGATGGCAAAAACTAAACACTTTAAAGGATTAAACCATAACGACATAGTGAATTATAATGAAATGATCACAAAAAGTATAAATGTTATTTTGAGAAGGAATCTCGAACAGAGCGCAAGAAGAACGTTATTTAGTCAGGAAAAAACCCAAAATTCCAGTGACGAATGGTTGGAATATAGAGAAGACAAAAATCATGATATTGAAAATAACGAATTGGAAAAGGAATGCATCGTATCAATTGCAAAGGCTTGTTCTGAAGTTAAATTTTTAAATAAATTTACATGTCAGGTTAATTGCTCAGAATCGGATGTTATAAATAGCACACATCAAGGTGCCCATATTTTCTAGAGCAACATTCTTTACTTTTTTGTTTAATAATTTGAGGGTTATTTGAATAATTTGAAGTTGTGATTTCAGCTGATAAATTATTGCATGATGCGAAAAATACTTTAATCGATATGAAGCAGTCATTTGAAGAAAACTGCCTTTCGGATAAAATTAATGAAACTCGTACATATCGAAATATAATAAGCGACTTAATAAAAGCTCAAATAAATGTTGTAAGTGATTTTCAAGATAGTTTTCAACCGAATAAAGAAATTGAAAATAATGAAGAAACACTAAAAAAGGTTTTAGACATTTTAAACACAATAGCTCTTAATCTGAGTAAAGGGATTTGCTCCCGCCAAGAAAAAGCTAGTGGACTTGTAGCCAGTGCCCGCCGGTTTAATCAGATATTAAATGAGGATTTAGAACAAATAGTAAAAGACGGCGTTTTATTTCCGAAATCATGTGTTTGTGACAAAGATCAATGTATATCTAATGATTGTATTAAGTCTTGTAAAAATTTCTGCATACTTCATTATCATTTGGGACGATGGAGCTGTACAGCTGTCAGTGGAAATTCGAGCATTACTTTAAATGCAATTTGCGATGGTAAACTTGACTGTTATGATGAGTCTGACGAAAGTGAATGTACCACAGGTAAGGAAACTGATTTTCCTTTTACTGCAACCATCAACCACATTGTAAATCAAAAATTATATTTAAATCAAGTGTATCAATAAACTGCTTATTTAGATATTTTGTAAAGTGTAAAGCGTGCCAAATATTACTATAGAACCGTAGAACAATACGGGGCGCAGATGAACCGGAAGGGAGTAGCTATACGCAGGCGTTTCCCTCTGTCAATGCATAAGTCGCGGTCAATAAAACTACAATAAAACTAGTTGCAGCCGCACTGCTCACTAGACTAAATCTAGTTACGTGGCTGAATTGACGTACTACAAAAATGCCGAATATTCAATTTTTTTTTGCAACAAAAAGTGATCTGCCATGTCAAATTAACAAAAAAATGACATTACCTTGTATATATTAGTAATATTCAATCACATTATTGTTACTTATTACTGTTGAGCGCCACCATAATACCTGGTAAATGGCAACACTAGTTACCATTAGCACCCTCTAGTATCGAGTAACAGAACTAGGACAGTCAATATCTTTCTAGAAATTTCCATAGAAGAACTTTCTAGAACTATCGAGACCTAGTAAATCGGGACCGGTATGTAATAGTAATAGGCAAGAAGGTAAGGAAGTGGTATCTGTGAGGATGCTTAGGTCAGACCAGCTCAGCAATGAGTGGAAGGACAGACTAAAACATGCACAGCAGGAAGATTCGGACATCAAGTCGATTCTGGAATGGATGAAGGTCAGTGCTCCTAAGTCCAAGTGGAGCGACATCTCAGCGATGAGATCGACCACGAAAAGCTATTGGGCCCAATTCACAGCTTGCTTGCTGATTCAGGATGGAGTCCTGTGCCATAAATGTGCCATGATGATTATAAATGGGAAAATGGTCGGGAAGACAGTTGTCATTTGCAAAAGGTTGTCTCTAAAGTTAAAGTACCGGATGTTCCACAGCTGTACCATAATGGTTGTTCAGGAGGCCATCTGGGAGTTAAACGAACTCAACTGAATATCCGAGAACGGTTTTACTGGTTCCACTGTCGTGACGATGTCTAGGACTGGTGTCGCAAATGTACAAGTTGTGCGGCTATAAAGGGACCTCAGACTCGTAGTAGAGGTGCATTGAAATTGTACAGTGTTGGTGCACCATGGGAGACGATAACTTGACGTTGCGGGGCCGTTTCCGGAAAGTGAAAGTGGTAACAAGTATATCATGGTTGTGATAGATTACTGCACTAAGTGTCCAGAAGTCTTCTCCATTCCAAATCAAGAAGCTTCACCAGTTGCAAATAAACTAATTCATGAAGTGTTCTCGTGCTTTGGAGTACCTTTAGAGATTCACAGCGATCAAGGAAAGAATTTTGAGTTTCAAATATTCCAGGAAACTTGCCGAGTAATAGTTACTCACAAAACAAGAACAACTTCTTACCACCCACAATCTGATAGAATGGTATAACGATTTAATCAGACATTGGGGAGGTACCTAGCAAAAGTTTTGGAAAATCGGCAACGAGACTGGCACAGGCACATACAACCGTTTTTGTTGTCATATCGAAGCGCTGTTCACGAAAGTATACATCAGTAACACCAGTGTTTGCAAACTTAGGAAGAGAATTACGGCTGTCTGCAGACCTGATCCCCGGAATACCACCTGATGCCCCACGCAGTATAACTGATTATGCAAATGACTTGCGGAACAAAATGAATGACATTTATGAGTACATCAGACAATCGGGCCAGCAAATGTCTGAAAAGATGAAAACCCAGTAAGACCGCAAAATGAAAACCAAAGGGTTTGACGAAGGTTCACTAGTGTGGTTGCACAATCCTGTTGGCAGGAAAGGAAAATCTCCTAAGCTTCTATCTAAATGGGATGGACCGTACCGGATTGTGACAAGGATCAATTACGTACGTGCAAGAGGTACTCTTAAGATCGTCTATGTGGATCAACTGGCGCGTTATTATGGGCCCGATAATGCTCGAGACGAGCATGTCTTAGGAGGGGGCAGCGTTGAGCGCTACCATTAGTACCTGGTACATGGCAACACTAGTTACCACTAGCGTCTCTTAGTATCGAGTAGCAGAACTAGGAGTGTCAAGATCCTTCTAGGATTTTCCATGGAAGAACTTTCTGGAACTATCGACACCTAATCTGTTGTTACCGGCATGTACTCGAACATTCTAGATGTTTCTAAAGTAGAAGGTTCTGGAAATTATCTGAGGCGCTACATAAGTCCGGTATAGACCGCGACCCAGTCAGTATTGAATTGGCGATATAAGCGAATATTTCGAAGCGATACAACTGCGAACTAAAGTGATCAGTAGAACAATTGTGTTTTGTTATTAGTGTGGTTTTAGATTGTAATTAGTGTTCTGTAATTAAAGTGTCAATTTTGGTAATTCACTCGGCAGTTTTTAATTGTCTCGAACCCCAAGCTCGTAACATTACTTTTGAAACTTAAAAATTATAATAATAACGGCCGTGTTGTTTCGGAATTGTTTAAACAACACAGGCCGTGGTAGCTGTCGCTTTACATTTCACAGTACGTGAGAAATCGAGTTCGAACCCCGCCGGCACCAATGAAATTGTTATTTGCAATTTTAAGTGCTGATTTACCACGTGCTCGGCGGTGAAAGAAAACATCTTGAGGAAACCAGTATATCTGAGAAATAAGAAAAAAAAAATATTTCGAAGTCATGTGAAGTCTGCTAACACGCATTGGGGCAGCGCGGTGGACATTTCCATGCCTTTAAACTCTGTCAAAAATGAGAGGAGGCCCGTACCCAGCAGTGGGTCGTATATAGGCTGTTACTTTACTTTACTTTATTGCGCGCAGATATCCCCCTGCAAAATATAACAGACAGTTCTGTATCGAAAAAAAAAAAAACGCTATGGCTATTTCCCTCCGGTTCGCCGCGCCTGTACGGTTTCCCGTGTTGCTCTATGTATATAATACATAAAATCAGTATGAGACTACGAATTAAAAGGGTTTCAGAAACAGCGTCTTTACATAGCTTAGCCAGTTTGAGGTCTTTATTACTGATCTTTTTTTGCTGTAGTTTTTTTTAAACAATTATTAATGTTAAATCCTTATTATAGGCAAAGGAAGAGACAAATTCAAAGCTAACGAAGCATTTTTACAAATAATTAAAATATTCGAAATGAAAATGGCATCAAAAGACTACTACCGCATAAGAAATGATCTCATTAAATTATATAACTCAGTAATTAAATTACAACACTTAAGCACAGCCCCGAATCCTAGACTCAATAACATCAGAACAATAAGAAATAGATGTTTTGCATTGTTGTCTTCAATTTATGGGAATTTTATGAGAAATTCGTTCAGTAGCTATGAGGCTGAAGAAATATATAGGTTTTTATATATGGTTAATACGAATTTAGTAACTGCTCTGAAATATTCGAATACAGGCAATGTTAAAATTATTTCTTCATCTCGTTGTATATGTAAAAAGAACAAATGTATAATGTCGAAATGCTCGTTGAAATGCACTAGAGTCTGTTCAGTGGAAAGTGTATTAAGTAGATATCACTGTAAAGATAGTCCGCGAAATCGTTCCATACCCGTGGAAGCTGTATGTAATGGAAAAAATGACTGCCGACGTGGTGATGATGAGGATAATTGTAAAGGTAAGTTTTTAAATATAAATAAGATATGTTCATATGCAAACATTTTTTTTAATACAGAGATGGTTGACTAGAAAACATGACGTCTGATATTAGGTACGTCTTTTCAATTAGTAAATGATTTTGAGAAACTGGGATTTCTGATTTTCTGGTTAATGGTTTTACCATGTCGGAAGGACAAATTTTCTAGGAGAAGTCGTTTGTATTCTTAAAAGTACATTTGTCATTATCATGTTAGATCCGATTTTGTAATTTTTTTGCAAATAAATTGTTTTCTCTTTCCATGAAGAGTTAGCCTGAGATCTATAGACCGTACTTTGAGTTTGCTCAGACTTTACTTTCGAGATAAGACAAAAGAAATTTAAAGAGCTAACTTCGAAGTCGTGTTGGGTGCGCGCTTTGCAAAGGCTAAGTCAACGAAATCGACGACTTACGTCATCATCATCATCATCATTACAGCCTTTCATAAGTCCACTGCTGAAAATAGGCCTCCCCCAAGGAATGCCACAAAGCACGATCCTGAGCCATCTGCATCCATCGACTTCCTGCATGTCTTACCAAGTCGTCACTCCATCTCGTGGGGGGTCGCCCTACACTTCGTCTACCGGTACGAGGCTGCCACTCAAGAACCTTTCTTCCCCATCGGTTGTCGGTTCTTCGAGCTATATGGCCGGCCCACTGCCACTTCAGCTTACTAATCCGTTGGGCTATGTCGGTTACTCTGGTTCTACTGCGGATATCCTCATTCCTAAGTTTATCACGCAGAGAAACTCCGAGCATAGCCCTCTCCATAGCTCGCTGAGCGACCTTGAGCTTCCTCATACGGCCAGCAGTGAAGGACCACGTCTCAGTTCCGTAAGTCATCACTGGCAACACGCACTGGTTGTATAATTTCGTTTTAAGGTTTTGAGGTATGTCTGACGAGAAGATGTGTCGTAGCTTCCCGAACGCTGCCCAGCCGAGTTGAATCCGTCGATTGACCTCTCGGTCGAAGTTGGACTTACCTAGTCGGACTATTTGTCCCAGGTAAACATACTCTTCAACAACTTCGAGCTTAGTGCTCCCAACAACTACCGGCATAGGTGTGACATGGACATTAAACATGATCTTTGTTTTGTCCATGTTCATCTTAAGACCTATCCGTTGGGAGACACTATTGAGGTCATTGAGCATAGTGCTTAGGTCCTCCAGCGATTCTGCCATAAGCACTATATCGTCGGCAAATCAAAGGTGAGTGATGTACTCGCCATTGATGTTAATACCGTATCCTTTCCAGTCCAGAAGCTTGAAAACGTCTTCCAATGCAGCGGTGAAGAGTTTCGGGGATATAACGTCACCCTGTCTTACACCTCTCTGCAATTGTATAGGTTTCGTACTCTGGTTCTGTACTCGGATAGCCATCGTAGCTCTACTGTACAAATACTTCAGCACTTCGATATACCGACAGTCTCCTTGGCACCGCTGAAGGGACTGCAGCACCGCACAAATTTCGACGGAATCAAAGGCTTTGTCATAGTTCACATATGCCAGGCATAGTGGCAAATTGTACTCCTCGGACTTCTGTACAACTTGATGAAGGGTATGTATGTGGTCTATGGTGTTAAAGCCCTTTCGGAAACCGGCTTGTTCTGGAGGCTGGAAGTCGTCAAATCTGCGTGCGAGACGATTCGTAATGACTCTCGTGAACAGCACGTATACGCGGCTCACTTACGTAAAACTCAGGATATTATCCAAAACCACCGTATTGATTTTAAGTTGTTGTTTTTATGTTACTTTAATTATTTATAACAATAAATAGGTAGTTTAGGCAGTTTTATAATTTTTAATAGCATTAATCCATTTTCTATTAACGTAATTTCAAACTTATTTGAAATTACTTTTTCTACTATTTATTATATTTTTTTTATTTTTTTCTGATTTTGTACTCACCCGTTCCCGTTCTCATTCGCCCGTACCAATTCCCGTTTTCTGTTTCACGTAGTACTAACTTATTTATGAAATATATTTTGGATTTATAAATACGAAATTTCTTATATTTTATACGGTAAAATCAAGAACATAATGTGTGTAATGAAGCATCCATAATTTTTTTGACAGTCTGGGCCTTTAGCTTAGCTTAAATCTTAGCCCGATACAACTATATTATATTCAGAATCAAAGATTATGCTAAGCATATACTCAACTAAGTTTTTCGTAAGCTAAGTCTGAGCAAAGTCAAAGTACCTACGGTCTATAGATCTTAGCCGAGTTACAGAATCTTTACCTTGCTCAGAAACCTCTTTCGAGTTAGTGAAAACGTTTTGTATAAGGCGAAGACTTCCTACGTTGTAAGGCTTTTAGCGATCCTTTCTCCGCTGCATACATATTTATCCAGCACGAAATAAACGTGCGTCATTCGGTGGACAAAAAGTTATTTTATATGAATCGTTTTCGCTTAATATACGAGAAATACAGGATCTACACAAAAATGCAGCAAATTAAGAATCTAATTCAATAACACGCTTATCGTAATATTGAAAAATATTATATATTTATGGATCCTCAAAGTTGTCCCCGGCGATTAAATTATATTGTTTTTATCTCGATTAATAATTTAATTAACTATTTCATATATGTGCATTTATTTCCGAGCACATACTATTTCAAGAAGTATCAAACTCGAGCGTCAAAATCGTGTCTAAAATGCGATATTTTTGTCCAATTTATTGAGCTGAATGCGTTTTGTTTTTAGAGGAAATTTGTCGAACCCATCATTTATTATTTCTTCGTCAGAATATACAAGATGTGGGAATAAAGCGAGACGGAACAACATTAGGAGAGATACTTAAATTTTGGAGAACGAAGGTATAGTTATTTAATGCTTTCTTATATTTACGCGAAGACTACAAATTAAATGAAACTAATTTTTACGGATTTTATCGCGTTCAATTTAACCAAAACTTAATATTAAAAACGACGTCATACACCTAAGTCCCCCCGTGACCATGGGTGCAGTAAAGTACCCGAAACGTCGGGAATTAAAAAGTTAAATTAAACGCGATAAAATCTGTAAAAATTAGTTTCATTTAAGGTATAGTTATTGTTCAGTTGTTGTTATATAACTCATCTATCCAAATAAATAAAATTGAAGTGTCCGTTTGTAATGTCAAAAGAACAGCTTTTTACTAAATGCATTTGAAAGTATATACGGTACATATAACAAAAACACAATTTTTAAAATTTTTGTCTGTCTGTCTGTTTGTTCCGGCTAATCTCCGAAACGGCTGGACCGATTTTGACGGGACTCACTGGCAGATAGCTAATGTTATAAGCAGGGATGTTACGGATATGATATTTCGGATATGGATACGGATACGGATATGGGAATAATATTATATCGGTTTCGGTTTCGGTTACGGATATAAAATTATTTCGGATTATCCGTTAGTTTCGGATCGGATAAGATTTTTGAGGTATTTAAGTAAAATACAAATAAGTAGGTAATCATTTGGCTTTATATCTTGGTTATCATTTGGTTACAATCAGTCATTTATTCAAGTAATTAACAATTTTATAAGAATAGTATACTAATTAATGTAGCTACCTACATATTTTTAAGTTATCTACTTAAAAATGCTATTACAAAATTATTATAATCAAAAACAATGCTATTAGTTTTTTTTTCTATTATATTCTTCAATATATTTCTAGGAACTATTACAACGCATAAATCAGTCTTCTTAAGTCTTTGCATATTGAAGAATAAAAACTAAAATCTGAACATAACATAACAAAATATTTACTTGTCTTTCACTTAATGATTTCTTTTAATAGTCGAAACTAAGCAAAGGTAAATTATACTTAACAAAAAGCAATTTCGCAGCCTTATCACCAGAAAGTCGATTTCTTAAGGGGTCATAAATTAACCCAGCTGCACTGAAAAGCTGCTCACTTGGTACACTTCCAGGAGGTGGAGAAAGGTACTGTCTTACTAAATCACTTAAGCAATGGTACTTGGTATGCATTTTCCACCATAAAAGTGGATCTTCATTGAGTGTCAATCGTTTCTCCCTGTTGTATTCATTTAGTAATGTCTTTTTAACAATAAATTGATTGTGCACATCATCACCACAATCTATGTTTTGCTCTTCCTCGTCACTTAAGCTTAATATTTCAGCTAGACAAGATTGAATGTGTGAATAGTTGCTTGAGCTTGTTGTCGGAATCTCATTCCGTGATCTCTTAGGTGAAGAAGGACCTTCATCACGAGAAGCTTTTGAACACCCAAGAATCCCCAGAATCTCAGACTGTACCTGTTCCTTCGTAATTTCAGTAAAAAACTTGAGTTTAAACCGTGGATCTAGATAAGTAGCTATTGTATATATTTTATTATTTTCAATATCCTGAAATCTGACATTGATGTCTTGGATCATTTTCGTAATCATTAATTTGAAGTTCTCAGAAGTCTCTTCTTTACTCTTCTCTGTTTCTAGTGTGTTTTTAAGAGTATATATTAATGGAATCACTGATGCTATTGTTGCAGTAGCACTACTTAACTCCTTTGTAATTTCTTCGAACGGCTTTAGTATTGCAACACACTTTTTCAAGTCGAGCCATTCATCAGCATTAAGAATTGGTATATCATGCGCGCCCGAATACAGTACTAAGGAGTCTTTTAATGTCAATATTCTTTTCATCATATAATACGTCGCGTTCCATCTGTGAAAAAAGAAAAAACAATGTCAAATCAAATAAAAAAAAATTACATAATAGATAGGTGTATAAAATAGAATAAAAAAATCTCACCGTGTGGAACATTCCTGAATTATACTTAGTCCTGATTGGTTCAGTCTTTCTGTTTGAATTTGTTTCAATTCATTTTGCGCGATTAGGGAGTGATTGAAGTGAGTTGCAATTTTCTTGCACTTCGTAATTACTGACGAGAGAAATTCTTCGATTTCCATCGTTGATCGCACACATAATTGTAGTTGATGAATAGTACAGTTTGCATCAGTGAAATTGGCCATATTCATAGCTTTTATCATATTAGATCCTCTGTCGCGTAAAATACAATGAACTGATTCCGTGCTTAAGCCCCAATCTTTCAAAATATTGTTTAAATTATTTGCTATAATTTCACCTGTGTGCCGACCCTCTAATTGTTCACACTTGAGTATTATAGAAACTCTTTCATATTTATTGGTGATGCCATGAGCAGTAAGACTAAGTAACGATACATTTGAGCTGGGCTCTGACCACACATCTGTAGTAAATGACAACTTTTCAAATTGCTTAAGTAATCCCAGCACCTTTAATTTAATTTTATTGTATATATCAGTACACAGCAAATTAGTAAAATACTGCCGACCTCTTAGATGATAGCGTGGTAATGCTGCCTGCATTAATCTTTGGAAGCCGACACCTTCCACAAAGTTAAATGACAAGTTTTGTAATGCAATCATTTCAGCTACTAATTTATCAATTTCTTTTTGCTTGACATTACTTTCATCCCAGGCGCCTTTATTTTTTAAAGAATCTGTTATTGACAGCTGTTTTTTACACTCTTGTAATGGTGTCAGCTGTTTCGTGGTATGTGGTATTTGTTGGATATCTTTTTCTAGTAACAAAAGTTCTTCGTACTTATCACCGTGTTTTGATTTAAGATGAAGTTTAAGCGAAGTAGTGCCACCTCCTTTTCGTGAAAAGGTTTTATCACACTGTTTACATTTTGCGGAATCTGCATTAACTTGATTAAAAAATCTCCAAATTAAACTAGACTTAGGTCGCATTTGGTCCAGATTAGGTAAACAATTTAATAACACAACACTTTTCTTTCACTTCGTCGAACTAAACTAATTACTCGTACCTAAATATAAAACTGACTGACGGGACTTATGTATGACTGCAACATAAATAATAAACAAACAATGCAAGAGTAAGAGACACGCGCCGCTAATGTAAAAAAGAAACCTGTTATAACAAGTCTCATTTAGACTCAGCCCCTACCCTTATCCGAAATTATCCGAAACTTTTATATCGGATTCGGTTACGGTTACGAATAGTTTTTTATTTCGGATATCCGATAGTTTCGGTTACGGTTACGGAGCTCCATAACATCCCTGGTTATAAGTAGTAACTTAGGCTACTTTTATTTTAGAAATATTATTAGGGTTCCGCGAAAAATAAATTAAAATCTATAAAATCGTAATAAATTCCACACGGGCGAAGTCGGGGGGCACAGCTAGTCTTAAAGTAATTTTGCTAATCATTTTGTGATATATGCAGCAAAATTCAAACAACGAATGCTACAGATGTGTTGTCACCTCTGAGGACTAAGATGGAATGCCTCACTTACTAATAATAATAATTATACCCTTCAGATTAGACACAGCATTGCAAGCACCGCTATTTAGAAAATAGTTAAGGGGGTAGTACCTACCCAGACGAAATCCTAGCCAGAATAAGAGTCCCACCACCTAGGATCTAGTCTTGATGCTTAAAATTTAGTATTGAAAAAATGATCGTAAGGAATAGTATTTAGAAATTAAATTACTTTATCTTTTCATTTATTTTATTTTTACATGTGGTATAGCTATGCTGCAGCTATTAGTAGTATCGTTGTAGCACGAATGGGTCGGCTCTACAAGGACCATGCTTTCACAGAATACCAGCGTAAAATATCAGTTTACCGCTGCTGTGTTTCTTATGGTGAGTGTAGATAACCGGATACCCTTATTACTGGAAACGAGGCATCTGCATTTTGATTCGTAATCGAAGATAGATGTAGATGTCTATGGGCCACAGTAACCATCAGGAGAACTGTGACTGTGATATGATGCTCGTTTGTCACTCTTATCCTATAAAAAAAATTACGTTCTGTGGCTGCGTTGGAGGCGGCTATAGGATAAGCCAAAAATATTATGGAATTATAACAATATCTTTACACCAGGAGGCAGTAGTTAAATACATCGACTGACGACGCGACGGGGAGCAGCCTATGTCCTTCAGTGGACTTTTACAGACTAATGCAGAAGAAAGAGAAGAGTAATATTGATAATTTTAGAAATTATATATTCGGTTAAAGGGTATGGGACCGCAACCGTAGTAGCTCAGGTGCTAAGAAATTTAAATGGCAATTGCATAATGTACAAACCAATGCAGATTGTACAACCAGTGCGTGTTGCTAGTGATGACCTATGGATCTGAGACGTGGAAGTTCACTGCTGGCGGTATGAGGAAGTTCAAAGTCGTCCAGCGAGCTGTGGAGAGGGCTATACTCGAGGTTTCTCTGCGTGATAAACTTAGAAATGAGGACATCCGCAGTAGAACCAGGCTAACCGACATAGCCCAACGGATTAGTGAGCTGAAGTGGCAATGGGTCGGCCATATAACTCGAAGATAAGAAATGTTTCGAGCGGTGGCCTCGTACCGGTAGGCGAAGTGTAGCGCGTCCCGGCCATTAGTTGGAGTGACGACCTAGTAAAACATGCGGGAAGTCAGTGGAGGATGTGGCTCGGGATTGTACTTTGAGGCGTTCCTTGGAGTAGGCCTATGTTCTGTAGTGGACTTGTGAAGTGCTGTAATGATGATGATGATGAATTACATAATGATATCGAATATGATTAAGTTTCCACTAAATTATTTCTATAGTTTTTTTTAAAATAAAATGAAGGTATGCAGTTTGAAGATGGGCCAGATTAAGCGAAGATGGACTAGATTAGGAGTACCCTTAACATAAAAATATGGATGTAAAGGAGGCGAGAGAGATGCTAGTGTCAGGATCCGTACCGTCGTATCCGTCCGTACTCTCTGCCTACCCCTCTGGGTGACAGGCGTGATTGTTTATATGTATGTAGTTCGCAGCCTAACTCATATTTCTTTTGTGTCTTGACAGGTCACACAAATGCTTCTAGTAGCTGAAAAAGGCGAAAGGCCTACTCCTAAGATTTTCAAGCAAATTGTCAAAGATATGCTGCAAGATTTGGTTTACGCTTATGCATCTTTAGACACAAGCAGAAGGAAAAATACAAATAACGATGTTCAAGAGTTTTCCGATGTCGCTCAAAGAGTTATAAATGCTTTAAAAAGTTGTGGAAAGTGAATAAATGTGATTTAATGTTTTTATAATGTTTTCTGACAAACTGTTTCAGTAATGTAGTATTAAAGTTAAAGTTAAAGTAAAAGGGGCAGGACTCCTCTCGTTATCAGGAGGGATAGATACTTACTTCACCGCGCTGCCCCAATGCGTGAGACATGCAAGTTTTCCCTCTCTGCCGAGTACGTGGTAATTCAGCACATAAAATTGCAATTAAAAATTTCATCGATGCCGGCGAAGTTCGATCCTGAATTGCTTGCGTACTGTGAAATTTATTGCGGGCTTAGCCTCAGAGCTACAACAGTTCTATCAGTAATGTTAGATTCACTTAATATTAAGTTTGTTTGCAGAAAACAGTATTTATATAACATAATTAAATCTATTATACTATGACGTTATTTTGACTAGAGTGAGCGAGACAGATGGTGACACTAATTTCGCACAGACAGATCGCAGTACCAGTTTAAATATCGTGTGAACGGGAGGTAAAGTTATTAGTCCAATCGAGATGCTGGAGAACTTAAATGCCCAGGGTTATTTGGACTTCTATGACTAAGTGCCACTGAACATTTACGGCAGCATGTGGTATAACAAAATGGCTGCCCAGCGCCTTATGCTATCACAGTACGAGAGTTTTTCAATGGAGAATATCCCGATAGGTGGATTGGGCTGGGTGCTACAATTTCGTGGCTTGCCCGTTCACCCGACTTAAGTTCCGTAGATTTTTTTTACTAGGGTACGACAAAAGACAAAGTGTACTTTAAACCTATTCAAGATTTAGACGAGTTGCCCCAAAGAATTGCAGAAGCTGCTGAATACATCACATCAACTTGAGAAGATACGCCCGTTTTATTACGCGATCATTTTTAAAGGGATGTAGAGCTTGCATTGCAGCTGAAGGCACACAGTTCGTTTTGAAACTTTGTAAGTCTGATTTAATAAAAATCATAACTAAAGAAATCCAACAACAGAATCTTATTTCTAATGCACCTAAAACTAACAAATTATTTTTTTCTCAGTTAAGAAGTAGCAATTAGTAAGTGTCATACTATTTTGAAATGCAGACTAAACGCGCCATCCGTTAAATTTACTTGCCAAAATAGTGTAGCATATTTTTTGCCATAGAGTCGGTTAAATTTAGGTGATGTAATTATTTTGAATTCAATGTTGGGCAAAACTTTTACATTTTATTTAAAATGTTTTAACTTTCACAGCAAAAAAAACTGACGAAAAGTTAATATTTGTAGTCACAGGACTTCAAAGATGATCATAGGCTGTCAGTTTATGAGATTTATTTTTGAATCCTTATAATTTGAAAAGTACGTGACCAAGATTTTTTTTAAATATTTTTGTAATAAATGTCACGACTTGGCCTATTGCCCGTTTCCGGCTTGATGTTGATTTCTGGGACAATCTGTATATATACCCAGTCAGGTCATAAGTATTGTCACACAGTAAAAACTTTTCTTTTAGAATGCTGGCCACAAAAAAGAGAATTTCGAATTGTTCATGAAAATAAAACTGTATACTTTTTAGAATTTTACTCATTTTTAAATATGGAGTTGGACGCTTAACGAAGACCGTGTTGCAGTTATTGCGTTGCATCGTCGCGGTTACGCGCCAATTCAAATTTTTGACATACTGAAAAATTTGAATATAACCAAAAGATTCGTTTATCGTACCGTCAAACGATACAATGAAGACTCTAGTGTAGATGACAGGTCAAGAAGTGGTCGCCCTCGGTCTGTTAGGACTCCAGCAGTGATAAAAGCTGTGAAGGCGCGAAAGAAATCCCAAACGTAAGCAGAAACTGTTGGCCCTTCAGATGGGGTTAAGCAGAACCACGGTGAAAAGGGTGTTAAATGAAGACTTAGGGCTTCGGGCATATCGAAGAAAAACAGGACATCGTTTGAATGCTCGTCTAATGGACCTGAGACTGAAGAGATGCCGCGCTTTGTTGAAGCGGTTCGCGGGAAAAAATATCGGGAACTCCTTTTTTCGGATGAAAAAATTTTTACCGTAGAAGAGAGCTACAACAAACAAAATGATAAGATGTACGCACACAGTAGTGAAGAAGCGAGCAACCGTATTCCGCGTGTCCAACGAGGTCATTTTCCATCCTCACTCATGGTATGGTTGGGAGTTTCTTATTGGGGCTTAACAGAGGTACATTTTTGTGAGAAAGGTGTAAAAACGAATGCAGATGTGTATCAAAATACAGTCCTGACGAACCTTGTGGAACCTGTTTCTCATACCATGTTCAATAACAGGCACTGGGTATTCCAATAAGATTCGGCGCCAGCTCATAGAGCGAAGAGCACATAAGACTGGCTGGCGGCGCGTGAAATCGACTTCATCCAGCACAAAGACTGGCCCTCCTCCAGTCCAGATTTGAATCCGTTAGATTACAAGATATGGCAACACTTGGAGGAAAAGGTGTGCTCAAAGCCTCATCCCAATTTGGAGTCACTCAAGACATCCTTGATTAAGGCAGCCGCCGATATTGACATGGACCTCGTTCGTGCTGCGATAGACGACTGGCCGCGCAGATTGAAGGCCTGTATTCAAAATCACGGAGGTCATTTTGAATAAACTTTAGTGTCATAAGAATCTATGTTTTGTTAAGTTCATTTTGGTATATAAATGGTTACATAATGAATAAACTTGTTTCAATTATTTTATATTAAACATGTGACAGAATTTATGACCTGACTAGGTATAATAATTCTGTAGAAAAGTTGGCTGTAGTTCTAAGATTTCCTGAAAAAAACAAACCTTAGGGATTCAAACCCGAAAACAGGAAACACATGTCACTCCCACACAGTCAATTACATAATACCAAATGTGTGACTAAAGAAATATAATTCATATGACTTGTTAATTGCTATGCTTATAAGACGTAAATAGTTATGATTGATGCATTATTTTATAAATATAAATAGTTGTTTGAAATACTTAGAGCAGTAGTAAGATGGAAATCAATACGTAAACATTGTGCAAGTAACATCCTCGCAGTTGTAGACGAATATTGTCGAGAAAAAATGTAAGTGCGCTCGTTTAGTTATTTTCATTCGTTTATTTGCTGTGTGTGTGTGTGTGTGTGGCTTGTATTTCGGAGCAGATCAAAATTAGGTATTGGCTTGTTTTTGTCAATAAATTCTCAGTATCGGCTCGGAGCTAGGAAGTTGTCGGTGTTTCACCTTCGTACCTCGGAAAGCACGTAAAACCGTTGGTCGTGCGCCTGATCTTTCTCCGGTCGACGGGTCTTTTCAGATTGGCGTCTCATCGGGCTATGAGAGTGAGCGAGTAGTGTTCGTTCGTTCCACAAGGAAAGTCAGATTAGAACCCAGGACTTACTATAATATATCTACTTGCTTGGCGTGCTAAGATAAATGATTTATATAATATACTTTGCGTGTGATTATTGTATATGTACATATATCCATTCCATCAATCCATTACAGCTTATAAAAATCTACTGCTGAACATAGACCTCCCCTGTATTGCCGATTTGGGCATACTTCCCAAGCTTGGCAAGCAGATTGGCAACCGCAGTTTTTATTGTTTTGAGCTGTTATCAGGAAGGTGCTGCTGCCCATCTCCCGTTTCAGTTACCTTTGTTGCCTCTTTATACACCCACGGGACGATATGAGCTAATGGATGTTCGTACAGCGCCACTACACGGTGGATATAATATATTATGTGTGTTTATATATCTGGACGATCTGGATATTTTTTTTGTTTAAAACGTAATCGTTTTTGCAAGGTGATGTAAATAGGTATCAATTCTGCGAAAGTCGTTAGTTTTATTAACACCGAGTAATGCTCTGGCGGCCATTGACTATTAAAACCTCCAAATAATAATTAAACAAAGGATAAAGCGACACTTAAAATTGTTTGTAGTGTTAAATCTAATAACGGTTTACAACCTACGTAAATTAAAATAGGTACGAATGTGTAGAATTGTTGCAGTGCTAGTAAACAACATGACAATAAATTATGATAAAAATATTTATGAAAAAAATAATTATCTGTTCCACGTAATAAAATAAAAAAATAAGTCTTACTTAGTTTGAAGAGCACTTCCCGCCCTTAGTTAATTATGATAACAAATTCTATGCCATTTGTGGCAATCAATTATTTATTTAGCTTAATTTTATTCTAGGTATTTTAGCTTCATATTCTTCAGTTTCCCAGTCAGCTTCACTTCGGCCATGTTTCGTTGGCTGGAAGACGACACTTTCGATTGTGTGGTCGGCATCGCTGTGGACAATAAACCGGTTGGCGTCGGCACCTTCGTCCACGACCGTCTAGTTATCACATCTGCGAATCCTTTAGCCAACGTTCAGAAGCACAGGATTAAAGTTTTCGCTATAAATGGTAACCCGCAGAGCGCTAGGGTAGTTAACGTCGACTATATTACAGTTGATAAAGAAAGATACAGGAAATGGATAAGAGTAGGTTTTGACAAGAGACATAACACGAATCATGATATAACACTTATATCAGTTACGGATGATGAAACAGTGTTTATCAAGCATCAGACTTTGCCAAGAAGACCGTATTACTTGCCCTTAGCAGATAAAGGTGCAGTGGCGGCCATCGCTGGCTGGCAGTTCGCTGGCTTTGGATACGCAAGCCGAAGGCATGTGAAGAATAATGTCATTCTCAAAGCAGTTACGTACAGGCACCCCGTGCTAGTAGATTGTAACAAATATTTGCCGATAGCTTGGGGGCAATTCATATGTATACTGAATGTGGAGAATTTTGCTGGAATACAATCTGGAGCACCGTTAATACATAAGAACTCAGTGTATGGTGTTGGATCCTTCTCATTTGTAAAAGGCAATAGTAGCATTTTGGTTTTTACAGACGTAAGAGCTTATAGGGGTAAACTGGTATATTTGTATACTAGGAAGTGGTGGTGGGGATGAATTAAAGTGTATTCTAAATTCAATCTTATCAAAAAGTACTGCGTCAGAAAATTTTCTGTAACTTGATTGAAC